TGGATTGCTCTAGTTTACTCTAGACTACTCTGGTTTGCTCTCGATTACTCTATATTACTCCATATTGCCCTGGACTACTCTAAAATTACCCTGCGTTACTCTAGATGACTCTAAATCACTCAAAATTAGTCCCGCCTTTACAAAACCAACGACAAACAACCCAGTACAAGCATACATAGAAATTAATGGATATTAGCAGAAATTAGTGGACATAATGGAGTCAAAATTCGAAACATCTCGCCCTTTGATAGCGAACTCGCCCGAAAGGGGAAACTTTCCGTTTCGAAACAACAACGGAACAACTACTAATAACAATTTGCTTTGCGCATATTTATTCATCAATGCAGGAGAATTCGGCGTACGAGCCGCATATATTCGGAAGTTTCGCGTTAAAGTGTAAGTATAACATCGAAGTGAAGGAGTTTTCCCTGTCGAGACGAGAGAGAGTGGCGGCGGTTTTGATATATATTGCAGTTCTGATTGTAAAGGATTCGTTAATTCGATGTATAACAAAGTAACGAGAGAAGTGCGATTAGCGGTTTGATTTCGTATAGAGGGATGCAAAAAGGATATTGCGATTTTAGAGGATGCTTTAAATTTGCTCTATTTTTATGTACATACTTGAATAAAATTTTGTACCGCTAGGTTAAGCTTAGCTTTCAGCGAGATGGATAAATTAGAAATGATGGAATTTTCAACGATAAACTAGAGAAGTTTAGAAGCATTTTAGAACTGCACAGAATCGTTTAGAATTGTTGAGAAACATTTAGAACGATTCAAAAGAGTTCAGAACGATTGTGAATGATTTCTGGACGATTTAGAACTCTTCATGATGAAGTTACAATATTTTAGATCGATTAACAACGCTACAGGACGATTGAAAACAGTTCCAGAACGAGTTTCAGAACAGTCTGATTTAGAATTGCCTAGAATCATTTAGAACGCTACAGAATCATTTAGAACAGTATAGAATCATTTAGAATCATTTACAATGCTCTGATTCATTTAGAATGCTCCAGAACCAATTACAACTGTCTAGAACCATTCAGAATGATCCAAAATCATTTAGATTTATCTAGAATGCTCCAGAACCGTTCAGAACACCACAAAATGATGTAGAATAAAATGATTTAGAACTGTCTAGAACAATTTAGATCGCCCTGGAATCCTTTAGAATTGTCTAGTTGAATCTAGATCCCTCCAGAAACATATAGAACTGTTTAGAATAATTTAGAACGCTCCCCAATCATTTGGAATTGTCTAGAATCCTTTAGAACTGTCTAAATCAATCTAGATCCCTCCAGAAACATTTAGAACTGTTTAGAATCATTTAGAACGCTCTAGAATCATATAGAATTGTCTAGAATCCTTTAGAACTGTCTAGATCAATCCAGAACCCTCCAGAAAAAGTCTTCTAGAGTTAAAGAATACTTTATCTTAAACCTCCCTATATTTAATAACGCTTTATTACGAAATCTTGCCCTAATGGATCGAATAAAGAGAGCTTTAATCGAGCTTTAGCCCCTGGAGTTGTACAGACTAGTGGAAAGTTCAATTGAAATGAAAATAACCGTACTCGAAGCGATCGAAGTCCCTTTTCATTTCGTCCGATTTGTCCGATTTGTCCGTTATTACATATTTTTTTGAAAAAAAAAATTACAAATCGATTCGTTTCGAAAAAATAGCGCCGGAATCGCGCCCGGGTATTTCCCCGAGACTTCAATTACTTCTTTTCCTTTGAAATCGCTTTTCTTTTGATATTTTTGAATTTCGGAGTAAAGTTGGCAATACTGAACAAATTGTGCGTTGGCTATCCTGATTTGTGAACTTGTGCTTATAGAAGAAGAAGAATCTTTGCTTCTAGTAGGAAATTTGCTGAAATATTATTAAGAAAAAGGCTCGTTTATCTAGGAAAAGCTTGAACATCTAAACTGTTAATTTCAGGTGACAGTTTTGTATTTATTTTTCGGGGGTTTCCGTGCCGAAGGCAGTTATTTATTCGAACAGAAAATTTCCTTGTCGTTGGAATTGTTCGGGCATTATTTTCAATTATTTTTATCGCCGGGACGTCCGAAAAATTCTATTTTTTCACCGTTATCTTAAGGTTATTTTAGCTACGCAATTAATATTATTTTTTTTCGGGTAGAAACAGTTAGCCCGATAAGGCGGATTTACAATATGCTAATGGCGTGCAAATGTTTTCGTATATCGATAAAATCGAATACGTTGAATATTAGTTGTCGATTAGTTTTAATATATCGTGGAAACCGACGCCATTTTGATCATTTAAATGACTTTTGACGTTTGACTTTCCGCCATTTTGATCATTTAAACGACTTGTGACGTTTGACTTTCCGCCATTTTGATCATTTAAACGACTTGTGACGTTTGACTATCCACCATTTTGATCATTTAAACGACTTACAAAACCTGCCACTTGATTAATTTTTTTTAGCAATCAACGCGGAAAAAAGATTGGTCGAAAACGAGAGAAGAAAAAAATACATAAATCATGACCTCTCGACTCGTCTGGATGGGATATATCCAGTTTTGGACCGGTCCGAAAGCTCTCCAGATATTTAACGACTGCTTCATTGAATATGTATAACCGGTCCGTATCAAATGGAAATTTCCCCATAGTTTACCCCCTTATCTTTTTCCATGCTCCACTTAAATCCGATGCGTTCTCTTCTCTATCCCTGGGAAAATACAAAAACGGGAACAACACAAAGGAAAAATGAAAATACCTACTGGTTAGATGAGATTTTCATCGAATATTCATTCATTCATACAGCGGATTCGGTATTTTAATTAAATACGATTAAATTTTCTTGTTGTGTACTACCTATTTTATTTATTTTTTTCATCTACAGGGTGTTAATTAATTGTATGCCGATACTTTAGGATGTGAATATTTGGATGATTTTAAGTAGAAAAGTTTATATCAATGTATATGTCCTAAACCTCTTAGTTTTCGAGCTACAGGGTGCTAAAATTTTTGAAAGAAAATAACTTTTCTATCATAATTTTCTTATTATGGCAGATATTTTTATAAAATTTCGGACGTGGACGTCACTGATAATAGTAGAAAATTAATTTTTATTCCCAAAAAAGTGTTTTCATGAATGGTGTGCGCCTATCAAATTTCTACAAAATATCAAAAGCAGTCTCAAAATAAACTTGGGAAAAATAATTTTAGTTTTTATTTTTTTACGCGAAAATGGTGCGTCGTACGAAAATAAGTCTTCAGATCGAATTTGCTACAAAATAAATGAGGATTTCAAAAATAATTTTAGTTTTTAGAAAAAGCAGTGGTGTACCATTTTTTTTTTCAAACATATTCAGTTCAAACCCTGGCGAATATTTAAAAAAATCTTATGCCTCAAAAAATGCTCCTTAATAATTAAAAAGTGTACTATAATAATAATAATTAACACCCTATATACAGGGTGAATCGTTGTTGTAAAGTGCGAAGTTAATTAAGGAAAAGGTATCGGATATAGGGCGAGAAAAGTGCGGAAAAAATGAATTTTCTCCGGAGGTAAATAACTTTTTGTATCGGTTATTTACACTCGATTACGACTGGGGGGGAGATCGTATTTATTCTGGAAAAGCGGAGTCGAATTGGCTGTTGCGGATGTGAAGAAGGAAAATATCGTAATTGTGTCGTATTTTTCCTGCTGGAAAAAAATATATCATTTTTACCTTCACCTTATCTTCCTGTTATTGCGTTTGTTTAGGTTTCGCTTTCGCGAATTGGGTTTTGTTGTTTGCGTTGGAAATTTCGAGTATTGTGCAATGCAATTATTCAATTTTTTCAACGTAATTTTCGAGTGACTCATATGGAAATTTTTTCCGAAAAAAAAAACCCCGTCTGGGCTAATTTGAATTCGAAATTTAACCGTTCAAAAGACGCATTAATAATTTTATCTATTCAGCGCTTACAATAGACATTAAGGTAAGTAAAAGTAATTATTCAGATATTATGTATTTAAAAAGCGCGATAATGCGAATTAGCAATTTAAAATCGTAAATAATTTTATTATTTTTCGACGATATATACTAGATATTTCGAGTAATTGCTGTACTTACCTGTCGTAATTAATGCAGTTTATGAAAAATTTGTCAATCCAAGTTAGAATTCCTATAAATTTCCCGATGTAACCTCTGTGCTTAACCGAGCGAAAATAAAAATTCCTATTTAAAAACGAAAAATATTGTCGTCTAGAACTTCTTGATACACCGAAGGCTGTTAAGTACTTTCAAAACAGGTAATATTTATACTAATTTATTCTAACATAACCTTCATTAGTCTCTATTTCCATCAAAACACTTCCAGGTGTTCTCCAAGTGTTATCCAAGTGTTCTTCATTAGCTAAATCACTGCAGGTGTTCTCCAGGTCAACAAAACTAACACAAACCATCCAAAGCTAGTTTTAACATAGCTAATATAGTTTCTATTTCCATCAAAAAAGTCTACAAAACTCTTCCAGATGTTCTCCATACGTTCTGCATTAGCTAAATAAGGTTAGAATACAATCAAAAGAGCCTTCAAATCACTTCAGGTGTTCCTCAGGTGAACAAAACTAACATAAACCACCCAAAGCTAGTTCTAACATAGCTTATATAGTTTCTATTTCCACCAAAAGAGTCACAAAACACTTCCAGGTGAACAAAACTAACACAAACCATCCAAATCTAGATCTAACATAGCTTATATAGTTTCTATTTCAACCAAAAGAGTCACAAAACACTTCTCCAGGTGTTCTCCAGGTGAACAAAACTAACAAAAACCATCCAAAGCTAGTTCTAACATAGCTAACACAGTTTCTATTTCCATCAAAAAGTTTACAAAACACTTCCAGGTGCTCTCCAAGCGTTCTCCAGTAGCTAAATAAGTTTACAACACAATCAAAAAGAACCTACAAATCACTCTAGGCGAACAGAACTAACCCAGACCAGACCAAGACCGTCCGAAGCCAGTTCCGAGCCACCCAAAAATGTTGCTGTGCGGCTGCGAAGCCCCGAATTTCGGCCCCTACCTGGCCAACAACTGCGGCGGCAGCAGTTTCGTCATCTTCATGTCCCTGGTGGACGCCATCATCAGGAACACCTGCGATGTATCGGCCGTCTGCGATAGGGTGAAGCCTAAATCGAACCCCGATCCGGTCTACGACTACATCGTCATCGGAGGTCGGTACTGATTGAGGTGTTCAAACGTTATCGATTCGAGCTTTGAAGTCTTATAGGTGGCAGCGGAGGATCCGCCGTCGGTGGACGTTTGGCCGAGATGAAGAACCGGAAAACGTTGCTGTTAGAGGCCGGGATAGACGAGCCGGAGACCTACCAAGTACCGGCGATGATACTGGCTTATTTCAACAATCCTCTAACCGATTGGGGCTACAGGACCGAAGATGAACCCAACGCTTGTAAATGTAAGTGCATACGAACAAAAATTCCTTTTACCATCAACTCATTGTTTATACGTTCAGCGTCTGGTAACAGCTGTTTGTGGTTGAGAGGAAAAGTGCTGGGAGGATGTTCGGTCATCAACGGGATGATGTACACCAGAGGAACACCGGCTGATTTCGACGTGAGATGGACGAACCAAGGCATCAAAGGTTGGACCTACAAAGACGTGTTGCCTTTCTTCAAGAAGAGCGAAGGAAACCAACAGGTAAACGATTCTTCTATGGCTTTTATACATTCAATTCTTCTACTTGTGTTGTTCAGATTAACGAGTATGGCGGTCGTTATCACGGAAGCAGAGGCCCCATGGTGGTGTCAGATCATTACTACGTCCCTGATATAGCTAAAGAGATTCTAAAAGGAGCTGCTGAAGTAGGTTTCCCAGTTTCCAAAGACTTGAACGGCGATCAGTACACAGGTTTCGCCATACCGCAATCGAACGTGAAGTACTCCTACTAAATAAACCACAGAAATCAAATTTACTATTGCAAGTTTCTTCCAGTAACGGCGCCAGAGAGAGCATGGCCAAAGCCTACCTAAGACCCCACCGAAACGACCCCAATTTGCACATAATGCTCAACTCCACCGTCACCAAAATCCTGATAGACTGCCACAAGAAAGCCTACGGCGTGCAGTTCGTCTACAGGAACGAAACCTACACGGTGAAGGCCAGAAGGGAGATCGTCCTGGCCGCCGGCACCGTCAACTCCCCGAAAATCCTGCTCCAATCCGGCGTCGGTCCCAAAGACGCCTTGGACGCCGTCGGCATCGACCAAATACACGATCTGCCCGGCGTCGGGCACAATCTCACCAACCACGTGGCCTTCGGAATGGATTACAGCGTTAAAGCCCTTCCCGATCTGCTGGATACCGTCACGGCCGAAACCATCACCGAGTATTTGAACAGCAGGACCGGACCTCTATCTAGCCCTGGTACAAAATTCGTATCTACGATGAATTAGATTTGGTAATGAGCGAGTGGTTTTTGCGACAGGTCTACCGGTTACATCGAGGCTGCCATCGACTGCTACGAACTCCAGCGATCCGGATATCCAGATGTTCTTCCAATTGACCAGCCACCAGTGCGTGAAATCCGGACAATCTGGACTACCGGCCGATCCGAAGAATCCACAAGCAGTAAAAACCCTTTCTATATCTACTGTTTACTTGCACACTCAAAGCAGAGGTCGCGTCACACTTAAATCCAACAACCCTTTGGATCCCCCTCATATGGTGGGGAATTATCTTACGGTGAAGAACGATGAGGATAGATTGATCGATGGTATCAGATTGGTGCAGAAATTAGTCTCCAGTCCAACGTTGAAGGATAAATGGGGATTGGTGTATAAGAATAAAACGTTCGGAAATTGCGCTGAACAACACACGTAAGTCTAAAGGAATAATTATCATCTAGGAAGTACCATTTAATGATTTCGTAGGTTCGACAGCGAGGAGTACTGGAGGTGCGCCATTAGGGATAGTACAGGCGGGGAGAACCACCAGTGTAGTACCTTGAAAATGGGTTCTAAGGAGGATAAATGGTCGGTGGTTGATGAGGAACTGCGGGTGATCGGTATCAGGAATTTGATGGTTGCAGACGCTTCTGCTATACCAGTGGTGACATCTTCGAACACCAACGCTCCTATTGTGATGGTGGCCGAAAGGGCGGCGGATTTTATCAAACGAAAAAGGGCTTGAATTCGATTTGTAAATACGTTTTGTGTATTTAATAAAACTGGGAGTAGTTGGATAGAAAAATTTGTAATTGGATACAGTGTAGTGGAATGTAAAATTCCTTTTTGAATGCAGAGAAGAAGGAATCTTAAAGGTATAAGGTAAAAAATAGTATAATTTCATCCGGTAAAAGAGAAAAGGTTCACTTTTTTTTTATTCTCTTCTGTTCCATTGCACGACTAACGCAGCACCATTCAGATTATACAATTGCTAACAACTTCCTATATATCTAACGACCCTTTTTGGCCTAACTCAAAAGAATAAGGACCTTTTGAAGTTCCGGCTCAGAATTTTCTGATATATCAAATATCTCCGTGGAAATTTCCTTTTTCGAGCGAAAGACACTTCGAAGGTGAGCGCGCCGAATTGGCCCCCTTTATATTTTTTTTTTCTCTCGCGTTCTCCGTTTCCTTCCTTTGCAGCAGGAGAGCGAATTTTTAAACGATTCCATTCAATTTAACGAAACATTATCCGGCCCGGTGGGATTCCCTCGAACGGAGAATTTCCTTATTTGCACAATAAAAATATAATTTAACTAGTACTTTAATTTCGATATCTTATGTGGTATTTATAGTATTTGTAGCAATCTAGTAATTCCTACAGGTTTTTTTAATAATTACTTCTTCTGGTGTTTGATGATGGTCTCTACTTTGATGAATTATCCAGTCACTACTACATTAACTTCTTAAACAATTTCAATGGTCTCTTACTAGTACTCCTTTTGTAATTTTCCGGAGAATTTTCATCGGAGAATTTGCACAATAAAATATAATTTAACTACTACTTTAATTTTAATATCTTATGTGGTATTTATAGTATTTGTAGCAATCTAGTAATTCCTACAGTTTTTTTTAATAATTACTTCTTCTGGTGTTTGATGATGGTCTCTACTTTGATGAGTTATGCAGTTACTACTACATTAACTTCTTTAACAATTTCAATGGTCTCTTACTAGTACTCCTTTTGTAATTTTCCGGAGAATTTTCATCAGAGAATTTGCACAATAAGATATAATTTAACTACTACTTTAATTTTAATATCTTATGTGGTATTTATAGTATTTGTAGCAATCTAGTAATTCCTACAGTTTTTTTTAATAATTACTTCTTCTGGTGTTTGATGATGGTCTCTACTTTGATGAATTATCCAGTTACTATTACATTAACTTCTTTAACAATTTCAATGGCCTCTTACTAGTACTTCGTTTGTAATTTTTTCATTATTTTTTCCTTTCGGAATTTTTTTTTTCATAACAAAATTCGGTCGTTTTAACGAATAAAACAATCTGTTGTACGTTTAACCGGTAACAGTGCCGATATAAAATCGAAATCGTTTATTTCCTGCTATCAATTCGAGCGTGCAATTGAGTGCGGATTTTTTTTCCTGTTGTCACATATTGCTTTTTCATTTCGAGTTAAATGCTCCGTATGTGCGTTTCATTTTTCGCAATTTTTGTTTTTTATTTTTTCGAAAATATCCGGATCGGTTTTTAACAGTTTTTGTCACCGGATTTTTGCGCTTAATTTCGACGTTTTATTATTAATACAAAAAAAAAATTAGTAATTTTTCGAACGACAGTTATAAATAAAAAATGCAATTTTATATCGCCGTATAAAGCAGGAAAAGCTGCGAATCATCGCTCGCGCTGGATAGGGGCGATTTGATTAGAGCTTTATCAAAAATTAATTTCTCACTAACCCTTAAAAAAAGCGTCGCGACGATAAAACCGGAATTTTACAACCGGAATGAATATCAAAACGGCGCCCATTGATGCATGCACATTACAACGAATATGGGTAGTTAAAACTGGACGTAAACTCGAATTTACAATTTTTAATTAAAAGTAATACCCCGAAAAAAACACATTGCTAACTTCACTTGTTATCGGAAATTTCATATTGCAAAAAAATTAGTTTCGAAATATTTCCCGTGCTATTAAACTGCGTTTTAATTTACCGGTGTTAGAGAAAAGTTCGTTATATTTTTTTGCCTGCTCTATCTCTGCGCAAAGTTTGATCCCGCTGACCGGGATCTGTATAGGGGAACAAAAAAAATCTCTATGAGAACGTGATTGATTACTTTTAAAACTGTCAATAAATTTTTTTCCTGTTTATTTATCGTGAAAAAGTTACACGAGGCGCTATTTTGAATATCGATGCCCGTCAAATGTCAATTGGTAATTAATTATTCGCTTGAAAAATGAAATTTTAAATTAACTATATTTTTCTATAGTTTCTTCAAACATTTAAAATTGTTTTGAGTATAATAAAGTGATATTAGGAGATTTTTGACTAATTAAAGCATTAGTTAAGAAATTCGTGAGCATAATACAGAGATCTTAGGAAATTAGTTAGGAGACTTTTGAGTAATTAAAATATTAGTTAAAAAAATTGTACATAAAAAAGTGATATTAAGAAATTAGGAGATTTTTGACTAATTAAAGCATTAGTTAAGAAATTTTTAAGCATAATACAGTAAATTTAAGAAATTAGTAAAGAGACTGTTGACTAATTAAAACATTAGTTAAGAAATTTTTGAGCATAACACAGTAATCTTAAGAAATTAGTAAAAAGACTGTTGACTAATTAAAGCATTAGTTAAGAAATTCTTGAGCATAATACAGAGATCTGAATAAATTAGTTAGAAAACTTTCGACTAATTAAAACATTAGTTAAGAACTTTTTGAGTGCAATAAAGTAATCCTAAGAAATTAACCTTAGGGATTTTTGTCTAATTAAAACATTAGTTAAGGGACTTTAGTGCATTACAAAGTAATCTTAGTTAGTTAGATAGACTAATAAAAATAAACTAGAATATTTTTCAACGTTTTCTCCTAATTTTTCCACACATTTTAACGCAATTTTACCCGTTTTCGCGCTTTAATTACACGCGAAATTCGAACCGGAACCGGTTTTTTCGAGTGCTAAACCAACACCGGGCGACAAACGCACATCACTTAAAACGTTTCACGTTACCATCACTGTTACTTAATCAACATTTTCTGTTTATTGTTTGACTTTCCGCGAACCGACGAGCGAATCAAACGCGCCGACTTACATTCCGCCCGTCCTGTACATTAGAGGGCGGTTTAATTAAAAATTTAATCTCCTCGATAATGTTAACTTAACTGTTAAGGCGGACGCCGGTCGGTGTTTCAACTGCCGGGGAATCCCCCGATTTCCACAAAGGATCGTTAAAGTTTGTTGATTTTATCCGGATAATTGGAGGATCGTTCGGTAAAATCGAGGCGTCAGAACCGGCGGAAAAACAGTAGTTTATTCGAATGACATTTAGCCGCATATACAGGGTGTTGCGTTTATTTGATTAGCGCCGCGATAATGGGTGCATTCTGTACAGGATAAAATATTAGCGAATTTTTCGAATTGGCTAACGAAAGGGTCGAGAATTGATTAAAAAATCAGCGTAGGAGAGTAGATGAGAGTAGTGTAGAGTAGTGTAGAGTAGATGAGAGTAGATGAGAGTAGATGAAAGTAGATGAGAGTAGATGAGAGTAGATGAGAGTAGATGAGAGTAGATGAGAGTAGATGAGAGTAGATGAGAGTAGATTGGAGTATATAGAGTAGAGTATTGGAAATTTCTTCCCTATTTTAGTCCAAATGCAATTCTCCTCTTCTTCAAACATTGAATTTTTTTCTTCTATCTGGTTACTTTTAAGGTGTCCCTTAAGGTGACCTTTAAGGTGTCTTTTAGGAAGTGTAGAGTAGTGTAGAGTCTAGATTAGTGTAGAGTAATGTAGAGTAGAGTATAGTGTAGAGTAGATGAGAGTAGATGAGATTAGATGAGAGTAGATGAGATTAGATGATAGTTGAGGAAAGTAGATGAGAGTAGATGAGAGTAGATGAGAGTAGATGAGAGTAGATGAGAGTAGATGAGAGTAGATGAGAGTAGATGAGAGTAGATGAGAGTAGATGAGAGTAGATGAGAGTAGATTAGAGTAGATGAGAGTAGATGAGAGTGGATGAGAGTATAAGAGAGTAGATGAGAGTAGATGAGAGTAGATGAGAGGAGATAATAGTAGTGTACAGTAGTGTAGAGTAGTGTAGAGTAGTGTAGAGTAATGTAGAGTAGGGTATAGTGTAGTGTAGAGTAGATGAGAGTAGAAGAGTAGGAGCGTAGGAGCACAAGTAGGATATTAGAGAATTATGACAACACTGCTTGAATATATCTCTAAATTTTAAATTCAACTATGAAGATTGAGCCGTTAATGACCTTGAGGGAATTCGGTTGTGGCCTTTTACCAATCGGTTATTGTTAGCCGACTCGATTCTGGCCAAATATTTATACAGAACGAGTTGCACGCGAAATAATAAAACCTCGCCGGTGGAAATGAATGCGATATCTAATGTTTTACGATCTCGCGCTCACAATGTAGCAAGTTTAACGGCCCCGGCCGGGGCGGAAAACAAACTTACTCCCCCCCTTTTAATTTTTTTTCCTCTTTCCTTTCGGACCCTCGGCGACAAAAGAACCGGCGTCAAAAAAAAAAAGGTGAATAATGATTTAATTTCGCGTGCCTACCGTGCATCGTGATCGATAAGCGCGCCTATTCGAATTAACCTACTTCTTAACGGCCGATTGTGTACTAAGTTTTTTTTCGCTCACTGTTAGAGTCATAATCGAGCACGCTATAGTGTTTCTCGCTACATTTCCGTTTCCACCGCACTATTTTAATGACCGGTATTTTTTTTTTGTATTGTCGGTGCAAAATAAAAATCATTTGAACGTTATTACTGTCGTTGTACTTGCCGAGCGGTGTGAGTAACTTTTAAAAAATAAATACACTAAATGGGTTAATATTAATATATGCAGAATTGAGTTTTGTATTAATAAGGGTTGATAGATTAATGTTGAAAAGTAGAATTAAATTATTCAAAAAAATATATACATGTTGTAAAAATTCAGCGGTTTTATACAGGGTGTTAAATAATAAAAAAAAATAACTTTTCTCTCATAATTTTCTTATTACGGCAGATATTTTTATGAAATTTCGGACGTGGACGTCACTGATAATAGTAGAAAATTAATTTTTATCCCCCAAAAAAAAGTGTTTCCATGCATGGTGGGCGCCTATCAAATTTCAACAAAATATCAAAAGCTGTCTCAAAAATGAACTTGGGAAAAAATGGTTTTGGTTTTTATTTTTTTACGCGAAAATGGTGCGTCTTACGAAAATAAGTCTTTTAGACAGAATTTGCTACAAAATAAATGAGGATTTTAAAAATAATTTTAGTTTTTAGAAAAAGCAGTGGTGTACCATTTTTTTTTCAAACATATTCAATTCAAACCCCGTACGGACGTCACTGGTGAAAATTTAAAAAAATCTTACGACTCAAAACATGCTCCTTAATAATTAAAAAGTGTATACAAAATTTCTTAAAAATAACTGGAGTAATAAGAAAATTATGATAGAAGTTACTTTTTTTCTAAAACTATAACACCATGTAGCTCGAAAACTAAGAGGTTTAGGACATACATTGATATAAACTTTTCTTCTTAAAATCAATCAAATATTCACATCCTGAGTTATCGGCTTTCTATTAATTAACACCCTATACATATAGTTGGTTGGTAGGCACTGACTGTTAAGTTGCATAGTTGTCAGTTGTCATCCGATCGGTATATTTTTAATTTTCAATTTCTCCTTCTTTTTTCTATTTTACTATCATCAACTACTAAATGCTATATTCAGCCGAATAATCGAGAAATAAGAATTTTTTGCGCTGTTATCTGTTCCACATTAGACACATTAGAAATGACACAAATGACAGTGACAAAACTCGCTTAGAATTAAAAGAGCAGTTAAAAAAACTATCAACTTATGAGACACCCAAATATACAGGTTACTCCATTTTTAATCGCAACATAGGTTTTATAGACTATAAGTGCGATAAAAACAACTTCCATTAGACACTTACAAAGGAAGAAGAAAGAATGACATTTGTGTCATTGCAACTTTTCACTCTGACAACTGTCATTTTAATAATCTTTCTTTATTCCACTCATAAAAACGACCATGTTGCAATCGGAAATGGAGCAAGGTGTATACATTTTTTTTTCGAAAAAAAAAAAACCACATCCCCTTACACCATAACTCAGCATCAACCCCGTACACGGAATTTCCATATACGCGGGCGAAACGCGCCGCCTCCCCGGGGGCCCCGCTTTACAAATGGCCGCCCGCCTCTCTCCTATTGATATAAATAAACAACGCAACTGCAAGTAAGATATATAACGGTTGTATTAGCGCCCTTTTGATGCGCCCCCTATCCCGATAGGGTTGCCCCCAAATGAAGATAACCGGCCTCGGAGTGCAAGCATCACGGCGAATCCCCCGATATGACGATGGCGGAATTGTCGCTTTACCTTTGTTGTGGAATTATGGAGGAAAAGTTTGTTTGTACTCCTACAGTATATGCAGAATAGGTTCATCTAACTATTTCATTCAACGATTCATTATGGTAGAGGCCAGTAGGTAGATTGATTAAGAAACATGTAAATGTACTAAAGAGGTTAAAGGTAAGAGGCTAGTGTTAATGCTCAATAAGTAACCAGATCTCTAATGGATAAGATAATTCATCAAAGTAGAGAGTAGTAGTAGATACCATCGTTCAAAATCTTCCAACTAATTCCTTAAGATCTGGTTCGAAACTAATTTTTTAAGAGTTGCACGATACAGAGCGGAGTAATGGAATCTCCCTCGTCCATCAGGACGGAGCGAAAATATTTTCATTCTACCTATTCCTAATGGAGGAAGCAACAACAAAAGGCGGTCGCGTTTCCTCGGTAGATCATCGATACGGGTTTTTCCCGCCCTCCTGAGCTTTCGATTTTCCATCTTTTGTACGTCGAGAACTCCGAACTTTTCCGCCCCATTCAACTCGACCCGACAATGGGATATAACGAATATTACGTTGCTTGTACGATGATATTCCGAAGCAATAAAAACGTATAGACGTGCTTTGATTAATATTACGTACACTGAAAAAAATTGTTGCCTTACAACGAGGTTTCTTGTACCAATTTTCCCCATCGCAGTACTGTTTCCCCAAAGATGCTATGAGTTTGAACAACTGGCAACATTGTAAATAACTAGTTCAAGATACTTCAAGATTATTCAGTTGGTAGTGGGTTGGTAGCAGTGCTCCCCTAAGCACAAAAAACTTGACAATAGGATTTGTTGTTTGTAATAATCTTCAACAACATCAACTTCATCAACTATTTCATCTACGTTTTGATCCATATTTAAATTATTGAATAAATCAGCACAAAAGTCATCAAATCTGGGCACCTCATCACATGATAAGGATTTATATTGGGGGAAACGATGTAGGAAAGACTTTTGATATATTTTCATCATCATCATCATCATGTGATTAGTTTTAATCACGCGATGCTTTCGGAGAAAATTAGCACAAAAGTCATGGAAATAGTAAACTGCTCAACTCCGATCAATTCGAATCAAAGTAAACGATAAATTTCCCTCCAAACATCCGCCGGCGGCGTTTCCGTTTATAAACTCGGCGAAATTTTCGTCGTAGGGAGGAAGGGAGGAAATCAATCGCGAGCAAAACGAGCACCGGTGTTAAGTAATTCGATTTATAACGGCCCGTCACAAACGCATCCGATTCTCCGTCGGCCTTTCATCCGCAATTACTTTCGGATTCGCGTTAATTTATTACCGACGACGCCTCATTAATAACCCATCATCCCCCCCCCCCCGAACGCCTAATACCCCTCTACAACAAACACCAACTCCTCCGGAGCAATCCCTTTTTTTTATTAGATTTCTACACTCAACACAACAACCGATCAAGCCCATCTCCTTCGGATGAAATCCGCCGCCCGCTCGGCCACCATCACGATCGGGGCGTTGGTGTTGGACGATGTGGTGACCGGCATGGCCGACGCGTCGGCCACCCTCAGGTTTTGGATGCCTCTCACTTCCAGTCTATCGGTGAGCACCGTCCATTTGTCGTCCGGATCGCCCATCTTCAGCGTACTGGCCTGGTGGTGCTCCGGGTTCGTGTTGTATCGTACCGCGCATCGCCAGTAATCGTCGGTGTCGAACCTGCGCGAAAAATCGACGATTTTCAACGGGGGCTGATGAAAGGGGCTAGCGAGAGGGGCTCCTTGAAAGTAGCCTTCGAGAGAGGTTATGAGAGATTCAAACGAGAGCTTATAAATGAAGGTAAGGAGAGAATATAGAAGATTGTGAGAGAGTCTAATGAGGGATCTTGAGAGCTCAGTCTTCAACTGAGGCTGATGAAAGAGGCTAGCGAGAGGGGCTTCTTGAAAGGAGCCTTCGAGAGAGGTTATGGGAGATTCAAACGAGAGAAGCTTACAAATGAAGTAAGGAGAGAAGATGATGGAAGAAAGCAATAAGAGAAGATTGTGAGAGAGGTTAATGAGAGATCTGGAGAGCTCTGTCTTCAACTGAGGCTGATGAAAGAGGCTAGCGAGAGGGGCTCGTTGAAAGGGGCTTTTGAGAGAGAATAATGATGATAATGAGAGATTCAAACGAGAGAAGCTTATAAATGAGGATAAGGAGAGAAGACGATGAGAGAGATTAATGAGAGAATTTAATCAGAGAAGCTTTTGGTAAAGGCTAATGAGAGATCTGGAGAGCTAGAGACCTACTCTCGTTCAATTTGTGTTAATTCTTTCGACCATACCACCAACAACTTACTTGTGTTTGCTATCGCAATCGCCGATGGGAGTCCTCTGGAGCTTGAAGCCCCATTTCTTGGTCAACGTCGGGCTGGATACGAGCCTCTGCACCAATCTGATACCGTCGATGAGGCGATCCTCGTCGTCCTTGACGGTGAGGTAGTTTCCGTAGATGATCGGTCGATCCAACGGATCGCTGGAGTTGACGATGAGCCGACCGCGGCTCTTCGGGTGCAAACACACCGCCGATATCTTGAGCACTTTGGAGGCGTTGGGTTTGTTGGCGTTGAAAGGCAAGCCGGCCTCGCCGGCGGGCGAGCACTCGTGGCTGGTCATTTGGAAGAACAACTGGATGTCCGGATCGCCTTTAACTCCAACGCTCGAGTAGAGCCTGGCGGTGACGGGAACACCTACAAGAACCCACCATCATTTATAGATTCGATTGGCTTTAATCTAATCTAGTCTTTGGTGGTCTTTGGTTTGTTCTGGTCTAGTTTGATCAACAACTTACATACCTGGACTGGCCAGAGGGCCGGTTCTGTCGTTCAAATATTGGTTCAAGCTGTCGTAGGTGACGGTGTCGTAGAGATCGGGCAGGGCCTGCACCTCGTAGGGCATCTCGTAGGCCACGTGGTTGGTGAGATTGCGCCCGACGCCCGGCAGATCGTGCACCAGAGGGATGCCAGCCTGGGCGAGCACCTCCTTGGGCCCGACGCCGGAGTGCATGAGCAGATGCGGCGAGTTGACGGCGCCGCCGGCCAGGACGACCTCCCTTCTGGCCTTCACCGTGTACTTTTTGCCGTTGTAGACGAACTCCACGCCGTAGGCGACCTTCTTGTCGTCGATGAGGATCTTGGTGACGGTGGAGTTGAGCATGACGTGCAGGTTTTGGCTCTTGCGGTGCGGTCTCAGGTAGGCCTTGGCCATGCTCACTCTGGCGCCGTCTCTGTAAGGTTCATCGGTGATTTAGTTGGTGTGAATTAGTATGAAATTGGTAGCTTACTTGATGTAGGATTGGGGAATTGCGAAACCGTCGACTTTCGCGCCGTTCAAGTCGGTGGAAATGGTGTAGTTTGCTTCGGCAGCTCCTTGGAGGAGGGCGTTCGCCAATTCGGGAACGTAGTAGTGATCTGATACTGTCATCGGACCGTTTTTGCCGTGGTATTTATGATCGTATTTGTTGTACTGAAAGAGAAAATCTGATTCCATCAGAAGTTCCTTATGAAATTATGAAATTAAAGTACCTGCAAATTTCCTTCGGATCTCTTGAAGAAAGGCAACACCTCGTTCCAGGACCAGCCTTTGATGCCGGCTCCGTGCCATCTTTTGTCGAAATCTGCCGGGGTTCCTCTAGTGAACATCATTCCGTTGATCACCGAGTTTCCTCCTAGCATTTTAGCTCTCGCCCAGAAACAGCTACCGCCTCGTCCTGCAAAATTACGCACGATTCGAAACGCTCCAAACTCCATACTGTTTAAACCAACCTTGACAAGCCACAGGCTCGTCGGTGGTCTTGTAAGCGTAATCCATCTGTGGGAAAAACGCCATAATGAATCCGGGCACTTGGTAGGCTTCAGGCTCATCGCTTCCAGCTTCCAACAACAACGTGGTGTGTTCCTTATCTTCGGCTAATCTTCCACCGACGGCGGATCCTCCACTACCACCTAGACAACGAGAAATGTAGAGGATATCTTAGGTGAAAATCTTCCGATAGGTTTACCTCCGATTACGATGTAGTCGTAGGCGCTGTCCGGGTGCGATTTAGGCTTCACTCTATCGCAGACGGCCGATACGTCGCAGGTGTTCCTGATGATGGCGTCCACCAGGGACATGAACACGACGAAACTGCCCGCCCCGCAATTGTTGCTCAAATACGGGCCGTAAGTGGCTGGAGTACTACAACCGCAGTCCATCTGTTATAAAAAAATTAGCCAAAGGAATTAGATTACGAGGTACAAGTTAGACAAATGTAGGGGGAAATGAGAGAGTTCTATGAGAGAGGCTGATGAGAGAGGCTGATGAGAGAGGCTGATGAGAGAGGCAAATGAGAGAGGCTGATGAGAGAGGCTGATGAGAGAGGCAAATGAGAGAGGCAAATGAGAGAGGCAAATGAGAGAGGCAAATGAGAGAGGCTAATGAGAGGAGCTATTAAGAGAGGCTAATGAGAAATACTGAGAGAAAAATGTTGGGAGAAAATAATGAATTTTAATTCAATGAAGGTAGAGAGAAAGGTAGTAAAAAAATTAATAAAAAAACCATGAGGGAGAAAACAGTTAATGAAATGAACGAGCTACTAAAGTAGCGAGAAAAGTAATTAATGAACGAATGAAAATTGAATTAATTTGGAAATTAACGCTTACCTTGTAAACGGTTTGAAATGAACTGAATATCTCATTCGCGCGGGCGTTTAAATAGTTTTCGATAAGCGTGTATTTGACTTAATAAACAATAAATCGATAATGTCATGTGCAGATTTTATCATTTCAATTGGTTATAACGTAATAATAGCATTATAAATGGCGTTTTGAAATATATCATCACTCGAGTTTCAAGTTCATTTCGACTGGGCTTTTTTTTTCGAAGATAATATCGACAATATCTTGGCATCATCAATGGAATTTTCGATTTAGATAATCGCGATTAGAAGCAAAAAAATACGTAATTACTTATAAATAGTAGGTACTTCAATAGTTAAAATCGATTAGAGAGTCTCTTTAATTCGACAGTTTTACATTGTTGTTATCGAGTAACTAAGAAGATACTTTTAAATTGACAGTTTTACATTGGTTGTTATGGAGTAACTAAGGAGATTCTTTTAAATTGACAGCTTTACATTGGTTGTTATGAAGTAACTAAGGAGATTCTTTCACTTTTGACAGTTTTACATTGTTGTTATGGAGTAACTAAGGAGATTCTTTTAAATTGACAGTTTTACATTGGTTGTTATGGAGTAACTAAGGAGATTCTTTCACTTTTGACAGTTTTACATTGTTGTTATGGAGTAACTAAAGAGATTGTTTACGTTAAAAAAGTTCTTTCAGCGACTGATTAGCTTTAAAAATAATCTCCTAATAGAGGCCTGTATGGGGCTTTGATAATAATGCATCAAAAGCAGGTAGAAAATTGGATATGCGACTAATAAAATAGAAGTTCCCGCATGAAATTTATTTAGAATTTCCGTGGATTTTCCGACGCCGAACGGACATGCGCACTGCTCACTCTCTTCAGAAAGGTTGATATCTTTATTTAAATAAAATTATTCATATATTCCGATTACACGTTTTATATCAAACGCCGCGGATTATGCCAGACGGAAGTTTCACGAGCACGTCTCTAATGTTTATTTATCGGATGATTACGGGCCCGGGATCGTTCCGATTTTTTCCCCATCGCGAAACTTTTCCATCTCAATGCAAATAATCATACACTTTTTTTTTTTTTTTTTTTTTGCTTCTTCTACTTCTCTCGCTTATCTCGAATGGAAAACCGTTTACTTTACTCCCATTCGAATCTAAAGAGCCGATTATTAATTAGATATCGTCTCGAATTAATGAACACTTTAAATTTAATCGTTATCTCAATACGTGGTACTCGATGAAAATAAATAAATTCTTGCTGTAAAAATACAATGAATGAACAATCAAAAAAAATCGACAAAAATAGCTAAATCGGGTGAATATTGCGGGTTTCGAAGAGATTAAAAATGAAATTAGTAAAAAATTATGGATAAAAATCGCTTAATAGGTGCCAAATCGGGCGAATATTGTGGCCTCTAAAACGGGATCAAAAATTCCATTGGAAAAAAAAATCCGTATGTGTCAAATCGGGCGAATTAGGTGACCTCTAAAACGGGTTCAAAAAAATTCGATTCGATAAAAATCCGCAGGTGCGAAATCGGGCGAATATCGCGACCTCTAAAACGGGTTCGAAAATTTCGTTGAAAAAAATTCGCAGGTGCGAAATCTGGCGAATATCGAGATCTCTAAAACGGGTTCAAAAATTCCATTGGAAAAAAAAATCGTAGGTGCGAAATCGGGCGAATATGGCGGCCTTTAAAACGGCATCAAAGATTCCATCCGAAAAAAATCCACAGGTGCGAAATCGGGCGAATATCGCAGCCTCTAAAACGGGAACAAAAAATTTCGATTCGATAAAAATCCGCAGGTGCGAAATCTGGCGAAAGTCGCGGCTTCTAAAACGGAATAAAAAAAAATCGACAAAAATAGCTAAATCGGGTGAATATTGCGGGTTTCGAAAAGCGATTAAAAAGGAAATTAATAAAAAAAATGTCGATAAAAATCGCTTAATAGGTGCGAAATCGGGCGAATATCGTGGCTTCTAAAACGGAATAAAAAAATCGACAAAAATAGCTAAATCGGGTGAATATTGTGGGTTTCGAAAAGCGATTAAAAATGAAATTAATAAAAAACCACCAAAAAAAATCCAATTTTACATAAAAATCCGCAGGTGCGAAATCGGGCCAATATCGCGTCGCCCCTGCGGATGTAACGCGGTAATCGAAAGAAATATTCGCCAGTAGGTACACAAAGCGGGAATCGGTTTAAACAAAAAAATTAATGCGCATGGATTTACCGGTTCCGCTTTACGGGGGGAATCGGAGGAGTCGGGAACTCCGACGGCGGAGTAGCGACGCGTCGTCGGAGTCGTCGCGACGGTTCGAGCGATCCGGGAAAATTCCGTTTTCGCCGGGCGAAAATTCGACGAGAGAAATTTCTCCGGTTAGTTCGTCGGAGTTGCCGCGGGAGTTGCGGGAGTTGCAGTGGATTTTCCTTTTACGGGGGAGTTTGACGGGAAGACGTCGGAGGAGAGTTTGGAAATTTCGCTGGGAAAAGTAAGTTTGTTGGTAGTATGTTTGAAGTGGGGTAAGAGGGAGTTGCATTCGATGAGTAATTGGAGAATTTAATTAATTCGATTAGTGTACTGGTTTAATTGCAATTAATTTTCGAGTATGGAATGGTAGGGATTCGATCGTTTGTTGGTAAATAATTTGAAATGGCATCTGTACTAATTAAGTATTTAATTTGTTATACAGGGTGAATCGATAGAATCTACATTTAAAAATAGACAACATTTATTGGTTTAATAGTCCTCAAATTTACTAAATAATTACCCAAAAAAATTGATTTTATTGCATATAAAAATGTATGTAAATTATTTGATTCAATCTATTTTAAAATTTGACTCTAAATGAATCATCAAAAACGTGAAATTTTAAATTTTGTTTTGAATGTTTTGCATTTAATCGCATTTAATTTAGTTTAAACTAATCTTGTATGAACTAAAATTTAACTCTAAACATTTTTAATTATTAACCAAAAACTCATTATAAATCCTCCAAATTTCAAATTTAATTAAAAATTTTACAAAAAAAATCGCATTTAATTTAGTTTAAACTCATTCTGTAAGTACTAAAATTTAACTCTATAGACATCTTTAATTATTGACCAAAAAATCTAGAAATTTTACAAATTTCAAATTTTATTTCGCCTTCTCAACTCACCCTGTATATCCTACAAAAGATACTAAAAATTTTATAAAAAAAATCGCATTTTATTTAGTTTAAACTCATCCTGTAAGCTACTAAAATTAAACTCTATGAACATCTTTAATTATTAACCAAAAACTCCTTAAAAATCCTCCAAATTTCAAATTTTATTTCGCTATCTCGACTCACCCTGTATAACGGATTTCTATTAAAAATTAACAGCGAATCTGAAATCCGTATAAATTCGATAAAACATATCGCGCGAAAATATTAATTAAAAAAAAAAAAAAAACCGCACTCGAATGTATTTTGAGCGGCGTCGCGACGGCCCGCTCGATTACTCCCGACGCCTCCCGATGGCTTTATACCCAAAAAAATCGCGCGAATACGCGAAAAATCAACGGCGAATAATTAATTTCCGAGCGTCCCGACGCCCGCGAATAAATAAATAATCCGCCCGGTCGAGTTTCGTTGTTGAGCGAATATAAATACAACAAAAAAAAATAAATAAATATTTGCGGTGTAATTGGCTAATTTTTCCCGCGTTAAATATTTAAACAGCGTCCGGAAAATCGCGTAATGAGCGTCGGAAAACGACGAGGCGCGCTTTAAATCAACACGTTTTATGGAAATTCGGAAAACAATACCGACCGAAGGGGTTTCCCTAAATTAACCCTTAAAATTAATTAACGCCCCCGCCTAAATACATAATACATAACGAATTTACGGCGTGTTATGTGTAGATACACGTGACCTATATATAAAACACTAATCCATATTTGAATGAATTAATTATTAATTACTTTTGCAATTTTCTTTCGCAGGAATAATTCGTTCGAGAAGAGGAAAACACAAATGGCACGGGCGATATGCTTTGAAAAACGGAAAACTGCGACGGTTTTTCCGAGTCGTCTCGTTTCAATTGGGCGCTTTTCCGTTTAGTGTGATTTTCCAACAAATGGAGAACTACCTCTGGATTTTCCTCTGCGCTTACAACATATGGGGTAAATCTATTTCCATAAATTAAGCCTCAATTAGTTGTGTTAATAGCATAATTGTGTAGAAATCTTTTTTATGAACTTGTCCTTATAGATTTTGCATTTCCGTAACTAATTAATCAATTAAGTAAACTAAGCAACCATTTAGTAACACCTTTAAAGCTAATTATAAATTATACAATCGCGTAATTGACAGTTAAAATGGGTTAATTAGAAATAAGTGTTTACAAATCATACTTTTGAACTTATCCTTATATATTTTCCATCTCTGTTGTAACTAATACAATTAAGTAAACTAAACCTTAATTAGCTACATTAATAGAAATGTTTGAACTAATCTTTAGTTAGATAATCGCATAAGCGAAAGTTAGAATAGGTTAATTATAAATGAAGGAAATGTTTACAAAATCCTTCTTGTATATTGACTTATCCTAATAAAAGCAAACAATAAAGGTTAGATGAAATTTTTTTCGCCGTATTTCATAAGTTCACCTGCAATGTCTGCTCTAAAGTGGATCGTAAACGGTTTAGAATGAAAACGAGACCGGAGACAAATCGTTTTTTCATAAAGATTTATGTATTACATTCGAAGAATGAAAAAACGCGCACGAAAGATGTAATGAAAAGAAAAAAAACCGGGGATTTTCCAATTGAAAGTCGGCGAACAACGGACGAAATAAGTAGTAGCTTTTCATCGAAAAAAAACACAAAGGAAATTAGCCTATTCATCCGTTCTTATCGTCCTTACAAATGGCATTTTCTTTGTTTACTGTTCATTTAAATAAAAAAATATATGAGAAATATGTTCCCAATTCACCTAATCACATAAAAAACTAAATTTATAAACTAATTAAAACAGTATTAATCTTGTAGCATTAACTAATTCTCCAATTAAAAGTCCAACTAATGTCACTAATTAATCCATTCCTTCCACAAACTCGAAACTAATGGATCAATTTACAAATTTATCTAATAACAAATCGAATAACTGCTACTAATAATGTTGATACAAAAACTAATTGCTCAATTAAACACCCAACTAATGTTACAAATGAACCAATAGCTATCTTATACTCCAAACTAATTAACCAATTTACAAATTAATCCAACAACATACAACTGCAGCTAATCACCTAACTAATTGCCTCATTCTAGCCATAACTAACGCTACTAATTAACCCATCGCTCGAAACTAATTGACCAATTAAAAACACAACCAACGACGCTATTTCGCGCATTTCCTCACGAATTTCACCCGTAAAAATTCCTCCAATCTTTCCAGTGGTATCTTCGATCAGCTCGGGCATCAAATGGGTGCGAGTCAACGTGCCCCAATACAGGGTGCCCGGCGAAACCGCCCTCCTGCAATGCGACTACGACCTGGGCAATGACACCCTCTACTCGGTCAAATGGTACAAAGACCACGAGGAGTTCTACAGGTTCGTGCCCAAGGAACGGCCGCAGGCCAATCGGTACGAAGTCGAAGGCGTCCAAGTCGATGTGAGTGGTTTATTTTTTTTTTAATATACAGGGTGGCCCAGAACTCACGCCACACCGGACAACTTTGATCGATAGTTTCAGCTGATTTTGGGCAGCTTTTGTTAGGTGAAACTGCTACTGGGATTGGTCGACTTTAAACCTCTTTATACGCCTAAAGGAATAACTTTTTCATGTTTTTGGCTGCAGTTTTGGCATCTCCATTGTCGTTTTAATAAGGCATTTCCAGGTGAGGCGTGAGTTCTGGGCCACCCTGTATATATAAAGGGGTTTAAGGGATGCAACCCCTCTTTTGTATTTGTTTGTACAAATGGGTTAAGAGGGGTTTAACAGGATGTTTTGAGTTGGTTTTGGAAGGACTATAGTTTACAAAATCGAGGCTATATTTCAAGTAGGGGAAGATAAATAAAGATGGCGAGTTGTTTATGTTAATTTCATTTACACCCCCTGTAAAATAAGGTGCAAAAAAGACGCAACCTTTACACGTTTGCTACTGAATAAAATCGCCTATAAATCTCCTTCGTATAGCGAAAATATACACCCATATATCTCGGTTGGCTCGTAAATAACCCGATAGAGTAAAACTTTTCGGACCACCCTGTATATATTACGAAATAAATTCCCGCATCGAATCCAGCGGGGAAAATTTTTCTCGCGTTCTCGTTCGAATTATTCCAAAAGGAAGCGCGGACGTCAATTTGTGGAGCGTGATCCACATGCTAGAATAACGGGGAACCCCCCAAGGGGCTTCGAGAACTCCCCCCATTGTTGAGCGTTCTGCCCCATCACAATGGCCGATGGGGCACAAAAGACGGGCCCCGGAAAAAGTTAAAAAAAATTCTTGCAGGTATTTCGGGTTTGGATTCGGTTGAGTTCGTATCGTGTCGGGAATATTGATGGGGATATTTCGGGTTAAAAGGAGATTTTTTAGGGATTTTTTTTGGTAGTTTTTATGGTGGTAGTACTGTGGATTTGTATGGCGCAATGAGTGGATTTATTGAACCTAAATCGGGACTAAAATATAGTTTATAATCGAAATATGATCAGTTGTGAATTTATTTAACAAAAAGTGACAGCTGTTACGTTGACAAATGACAAACGATATCTAATACTAACGTTGGAAGATGACAAATGAAGTTTGAAATGTGACAGTTTTGCGATTCTGACGTACGACAAATAAAATTTGGAAAAGTGACAGCTGTCAATCGATCTACCGAATGATTTATATGACGTTTAACGTGTCGTAATCGCTCCGTGATGGGGCGAAATTCCGAGCGAACTTTTTTTTTTTTTTCATTCGCAAAAGACCAAACTCGCGCGAGTTTTCGCGGTAACTTCGTTCGAAGGGCCGCCGTCCCGACGGACGTGGGAAATTCGGCGGAGAGGAAAAACTCTCTCTTCAAGCGGCTCCCTTTTCCCCGTTACTGAACTCGGGACGAGTCAATTCGATTCCGGAATCGGGCCGGGAATTACGCCGGAAAGCGAGCGTGAGCTTTTCTTTATCGCCGCAATAGAAAAAAAAAACCGGCCTCTTACGGCGTACGAGTTCAGACAGGCAACTCTAATCGGTTTATTTCGACGCTAATTTCGCACTTGATTTGTGACAGTTGATATTTGTCGGCCCATTGTTTTATGACAGCGGATATTTGTCACTTGATTTATGACAATTGATATTTCTTGATGGTTAGTTTCTAATATAATTTGGATAGAATTTCAGATTTTTAACGGATTTTACAAACATCTCACTATAGATACACTTTAACATTAAACTCGGACACAAAATGTTACTCATGACAGGTGATATTTGACAGGGGACCGTTGACATTTTCCAGTTGACATTCGACAGACGACATTTGACAGTTGACAGTTGACATTTAACATTTAACATTTGAAAGATGACTTTTATGACAGTTTACTGTTAATAATGTGTTAATAAAAGTGCGATTGTTTCAGATGAGCCGTTCGGATAGGAAGAAGGTGGTGATTCGTCCGGTGAGCTGGAAAACGACGGGGCTTTTCCGATGCGAAGTGTCGGCGGAGGCGCCGTCTTTCGCGTCTGCGCAGAGCGAGGCGAAAATGGAGGTCGTAGGTGAGTGGATATAGAACGTGTAAACGGGGAAATTTAATGGTTAATTTGTTTCGATGCGATATACAGGGTGTGTCTAAACAACCTGTGCATCCGAAAGGGGGTGATTCCTTGGCTTATTTTATGACTAAAAGTTGTAGATCTTCAAACGCTTCGTTACCGATCTACAGGGTGTTGAAATTTCAATTTTTTTTTTGTTTTTTCTTTGTAGCTCCTGCACTTTATGAGATATTTAGCTCAAATTTTGAATGTAGATTGCTTTAGAGGGCACACATTATTGGGTATATCAGATGATTGTTGAATTCTACAGGGTGATATTTTTTCAGGGGTCATGTACCCTTTTTTCGCCCCGAACTTTTTTGCTGTGCGCCGCTGGTAGATTCTAAAATACAAAATTAATTGTCTGTTTTGTTTAGAAACCTTTTTTATTTTTAAACTTGTTTCGTTTCTGTGACCGTTATCGAGAAAAAAAAATAAAAATAATTATCTTACAAATGATTTACTTTACAAAACAAAAACCCTAAATAATTATTATTAAAGTACATTATAATAAATGTTGAAAGTGAGCCCATCCTACTCAAATTACACTCTATACTCTATATCATACACCTAATTTGAGCTAAATATCTCAAAAACTGCAGCTCTAAAAAAGAAAACAAAAAAAAATTGAAATTTCAACACCCTGTAGATCACTAACGAAGCGTTTGCCAACCCACGTTTATATAAACTTTTACTCACAAAATAAGCCAAGGAATCACCCCCTTTCGGATGTACACGATGTTTAGAAACACCCTGTATATAAGGATGGTTTTATTGTCGGGCGATAGATGGTCGGTAAAAATCGAAATTGGACATATCCCCCGGAATTGGCGTTAAAAATTTACGGGTAATTCGAACGGTTCGGGAAATGATGGGGCGAAATTATACCGGAGGACAATCTAATATACTGGCATAGGGGCTGGCTAAAAGTCCTTTCGATGGTCGTGAATTTTTAACGAAGGAAATTGTATTTTCCTACTATCTATTATACCGAAATTATGTTCGGCTTTAAACGACCGAACTTTTTCGTACGGCGATTTAATCGAAAAAGTTTCGTATGTCTCACACACACACGTCAACTAAATGAATATTTTATATCTGTTGTTATCGCTACTTTTTTTGTTACTAATCTTTGTTCAACGCTATATTGGAAATTTCATTTTTCCCCTATTTTATCCATATATTCATTTTTTGACGATGATTTCATTTTTTTCCAATTAATCAAACACTATTTTACTCAATAATACAGGGTGTCCCAATAAAAAGTATCCCCTTTAATGAGCTTATAATTTTTAAACGCCTAATCATAAAAACATGCAGTTTTCTCAAATATGTTTTATTTTATTATAAGTTTTGTTGCAGTGATACAGACATTATGCATTAACAATACAGAGTATTTTATCGAAACCCTCTTTTAAATTCACAGTAACCAAATTAATTTAAATGGAAACATCCCGTATATACAGAGGTATTTTAAAAGATACACTCTTCTACTTTCCAAAAATATATTATTTGTAGATGTTATTCTACAAAAGAAGTTGTCCTATTTCATAAAATTTAGTTATTGTGAATTTAAAAGAAGGTTTTTTTTTATGAAACATCCTGTGCAGGCGATACAAAATTTTTGTCTCACTGCAACAAAAACTTATAGCAAAATAAAATATATCTGTCAAAACCGCATATTTCTATCATTAGGGGTTTAAAAAATATTAACTCACTAAATGGGCTACTTTTCATTGTGACACCCTGTATAAGACTACTAACATATGTATGTAGATATATTTTCTAACACCTTTATTTGATAATACCCCAGAACAAAATAACAAACAGAATCGTACCTATAATTCTAGCATATAATTCGAACGAATAATTATTATTATACAACGAGTATACATCATTTATTTATAATCCATTTATCCGGTTTATTATTTTGTATACGCAATTTAATACGCCAATTCTACCACTCGACGGCTTGATTAATTATTATATTTTAACCGTACACCCTCGCATTCGATCGATACAGCCCTGCACCCGAACTCAATTTACTACACATCAAGAAAATCTACATAGATATTATACATCGCATATCACAGTTTCATTCAACTAAAATAAAGCTCCTCAACCATTTACACTTGACATATGACAGTTGACTGATGACAGTGACAGTTGACATGAGACATTTAGCATACGACACTTGCAGCTTATCTATATGAATATTTATTCGTGTATCTAATAGACCCCGGCATAAACGACCCTCAAAATAATGTTTGGGCATTTACAGTTGACATATGACAGTTGACATATGACTAATGACAGTGACAGTTGACATGAGACATTTAGCGTATGACAGTTGCAGCTTATCTATGAATGTTTATTCGTGTTTCTAATAGCACCCGACATAAACGACCCTCAAAATAATGTTTAGTCATTTACAGTCGACATGTGACAGTTGACATATGACTAATGACAGTGACAGTTGACATATGACTAATGACAGTGACAGTTGACATGAGACGTTTAGCGTAAGACAGTTGCAGCTTATCTATGAATATTTATTCGTGTATCTAATAGATTGAGGGCATAAACGACCCTTAAAATAATGTATAGTTTACATGTATAGGTATTATCCGGGTATTGTTCCGGGTTGTGTATTCGAATTAGCTGCGAAACGGGCGAGAAAACGCCGCTCGAGAGACGCCGGGCTTTTCCTTCTCGAGACTTTATTTGTTCGGCGGAATTAACGCGGCTTTCCTATTTCTAATTAAACGTAAATACGCCAGTTTGAATGTATCGCCGTCGGTTTTCGCGTTTCCCCCGGCGGTGCTGGCAAAAGGTCGTTCCGGGCGTTTCATCGTCGATGCCAAGAAAACCGGCTTTTCCGGTTTCCGCGCGGCCTTTTCTCGCCCATCCCCCGTTCTATTTCGACTTGTTGTTAATTAAATGCACTTCGCGTTTTCTCCAGAAATGGAGACGTGGTATCTCGAAAACGTTGTAGTTTTCTTTTTTTGCACCATTTTATGCGATAGAACGGTCTATTCGTTCCTGAAGAGAGCGTAGGAAGCCTTTGATGCCTTTAGCTTATCTCTATTTTTATTGACTACTAGTCTTATTTGCTCTCTTTTTGTTCTATTCATTATCACTTGAAAGACCATCTATTGTTTCACATATAGAGCCTAAGTAGCCTACTAAGTAACCTATTTTTGATGTATCAAGCATCACTATATTAATCCCTTTTTGCCTTAATCATTAAATGAAAGTTTCTATAATCAACTCCAAGAGGTCCATACTTTTAACGCGATTTAGTGCATTTAAAATTTAAAAATCTATTTTGCATCATTCATTATATGAAAGTTACTTTAATCGACTCCAAGAGAGCCTAGAAAGCCATTGATACCTTTAGGTTTCCACATAAAAGCCTATTCCTATTAACTCAACTCACCACTTTAACTGATCCCTTTTTATCTTATTCAACACTTGAATTACCAACTATTCATTAAGAATTTAAGCCTATGAAGCCTTTGCTAGATTCAAAAACTAGGTATTTTTGATGATCAAGCATCTCTATATTAATCCCTATTTGCGTTAATCATTAAATGAAAGTAACTTTAATCAACTCCAAGAGAGCCATACTTAACGCCATTTAGTGCATTTAAAATTTAAAAATCTATTTTGCATCATTCATTATATGAAAGTTACTTTAATCAACTCCAAGAGAGTCTAGGAAGCCTTTAATATCTTTAGGTCTCCACGTAAAAGCCTATTCCTATTAACTCAACTCACCATTTAATTGCTCCCTTTTTCTCCTATTAATCTCTTAAAACACCAACCATTCATCCAGAATTAAAGCCTATGAAGCCTTTGTTAGATTCAAAAACCTATTTAGAAGCCAACTTTTATAAAATTTTTATCACTTTTCGTATTATAGCCCTGCCAACAGAGAACCCAGTCATAACTGGCGTGGAGCAGGAGTACCAAATAGGCGACGAAATCAACCTAAATTGCACATCAGGCAGGAGCCATCCGGCCTCCATATTGCACTGGTACATCAACGAGCAACAGGTACACTCAGAAACCTAAAACCTTCACATTCACCCATTAAATAATCCCCGACAGATCCAGAAACCCGAGGCTCTGATACCCTACCCGGAGGAGCACCACCGACACGGGCTGGTCTCTTCCGTGCTGGGTCTCCGGTTCAGGCTGGGCAACCACCACTTCAGGGGCGGCTCGATGAGGGTCAAATGCGTCGCCTCGATGACGCCGGTCCTGTACCAGAGCGACAGGGAGAGCATCGTGCAGACCCAAACGTTGCCTTTGAGGGAGGCTCTTCTGCTCGGTTAGTACCTTTAGCTCGTTTGAAACGGTTTGAGTAGAGGATTAAATTGCGTAGTAATCGATTGGTGCAATTGGTGTACTCCCGTTGATGTTTGTGTATATTTTTTTTGCAGTGAAAAGCGGAGTTGGGAGGATCTGCTGGGAGGTTTCGATGGTTTCCATAGCTGTGGTGATGGTGTTGTCGACGTGATCGGCTGGTGGTTTGTAAATAGCGCGAGGAAAACTCGGTGGAAATGGTGGAAATGAATCAATCGATGTCGCCTTGAACCCGCATAATGAAAAGAAAACTGCTAATTTTAGTGTTTACTTCGACTGTGATATAAATATTTTGAATGTGTGGCGGTGTATTTATGGAATTTATTTAGTGCGTAGGGCTTGTTTCTACTACCCCCGGACTCTTGTTATCGTCGGGCAATGCAGTGGAAATAAATCGATCGGAATCGAAGCGGGAGTGGTGGAAATTCCGCGTTGCATTTCCCGGCGAGTTCTCGAATTTTCCTTTTCGAATTAATTGTACATTACGTTTCCCTTGCACCCTGTATAAACATGTAGTATACATGTCGAAATGGATTTTGTTGTAAAGAAACTATGTATAAATAAATGGATGGAAAATCACGGAAAAAAAATTGTGGAAAAATATGATTTTGAAATAAACGTTTCCTCTGATGTTTGTGTTATTTATTATTTGTGTCAATTATCTAGGTTGAGATTAGAAACGAGGAAGAACCGAAAAAAAATATAGAGGACCAAGAAGATTCCTTCTAACATATTTAGGAAGAAATTTTCCGGCACTACACTACAAAAAAAAAGTTCTAAATAGTCCTGATTTAGTTCTGGGCTGTTCCAGTTTATTCTGTGGACTGTTTGAAGCAGTCTTAAAACTGCTCTAAATTAGAAACTACGTAGAAAAACCAGAAAAAACTACCACTGATACAATATAAGTACTAAAAATTTGATCTACCGAGCATTAAAGTCATTAAAGAAACTGGCTAAAATAAAGTTCAAAGCAATTATCTAGGTCGACATGAGTAACGAGGAAGAAGTGAAAAAAAATATAGAGGTCCAAGAAAATTCCTTCTAACATATTTAGGAACAAATTTCCCGGCACTACACTACAAAAAAAAGTTCTAAAGAGTCCTGATTTAGTTCTGGCAAGTTTGAAGCAGTCTTAAAACTGCTCTAAATTACTTTGTACATTTCTAAGCTAGTCTGATGATCCCATTACACTACACTAGCAGAAAAAACTACTCAAAACAAAGTACCACTGATATACAATATACGAAAAATTCGATCTACTAAGCAATAAAATCATTAAAGAAAATAAAGTCTAAAGCAATTATCTAGGTCGAGATTAGAAACGAGGAAGAGCCGAAGGAAAAAAAAAATAGGGAAATTCCTGACACATTTCCGGCTACTGCTCCCCGGATCGTCGTTTGCTCGAAGCTCTAACCCGTTTAGGAGGGAATTTTCCGGCTCGCAGCGGCTCGACTATTATCGCTACAACAACGAACGAGAAGCGAACGAAAAAAAAAAAAAAATAAGAAAGGAATTTGCTGTACAACGTGTTACGGCGCATTTTCCAGCAGGCGCTTTTTGAATACTAAAACCCAGCGAAACTATTATTATCCACGAATTTTCCAGCTCCATTCAATACATCTGGATGGAACATCTCAGACACCTTGTAGGTATCCATAAAGATCATCAGTTACAGTAAATTGTATTCCTTAAAACCGCCCGAATCGAATTCTCCCCCCATTGTACTTCGTTAATTTCGATTACCGAACTCTCCCTCTTCGATCTACTATAGAGCAAATAGAGCGTTATTGTTAACAAAAGCGGCGGAATTAGATTTTCCGAGCCGGCATAAAGGAAACTAATTTGTAAAGGGCGTATCAAAGAGCGGGAAAACTCCGAGGTTAGAGCCAGAGCAGGTGGGCATATCAAAAGGTCGGGAGGAAATCCAGCCGGTTCGACTAATTATTATTTATACCGAATTTTCCGAGTTGCTCGAAAAGTACCCTATACAGGGTGATTCGTAATGATTTGCTCAGAGTCGTTATGAATGCAAAAATTGCTTAGAATGATTCTCGACAGTTCTAAAATGGTGAGATACACTCTTTTTCTCGCACTCGTAGTACTAGAATAATGCAAAAACTGGTTTATAACCGATTGCTAAAAAAACTGTAAATATAAAAGTACTATAAAAAAACTAGTTCTAGTCAATTCTAAAAGTGTCCTTAACGATTCTCGGCAGTTCTAAAATAATCAGACACTCTCTCAGAATATTGTTTCACATATAGAGCCTAAGTAGCCTACTAAGTAACCTATTTTTGATGATCAAGCATCACTATATTAATCCCTTTTTGCATTAATCATTAAATGAAAGTTACTATAATCAACTCCAAGAGAGCCATACTTTTAACGCCATTTAGTGCATTTAAAATTTAAAAATCTATTTTGCATCATTCATTATATAAAAGTTACTTTAATCAACTCCAAGAGAGCCTAGGAAGCCTTTGATATCTTTAGGTTTCCACATAAAAGCCTATTCCTATTAACTCAACTCGCCACTTTAATTGCTCCCTTTTTGTCATATTAATCTCTTGAAACACCAACCATTCATCCAGAATTAAAGCCTGTGAAGCCTTTGCTAGATTCAAAAACCTATTTTTGATCATCAAGCATCTCTATATTTTCGCTTTTTGCGTTAATCATTAAATGAAAGTTACTGTAATCAAATCCAAAAGAGAAATAACACCATTTAGTGCATTTAAAATTTAAAAATCTATTTTGCATCATTCATTATATAAAAGTTACTTTAATCAACTCCAAGAGAGCCTAGGAAGCCTGCAAAAAAAACTGTAAATATAAAAGTACTATAAAAAAACTATAAACAGTTCTAAATACTCTAAGTTCTAGTCAGTTCTAAAAGTATCCTTAACGATTCTCGACAGTTCTAAAATAATCAGACACTCTCTGAGAATAGTCCGAGAGCTGGTTCGAAATCGAGTGCAATAAAAATGCTCCTAATGAGCGTGATGGAGTTAAGTGCGGATAAACACGAGGGGGATGAGATTTGGGGAAAGGGAGTAAAAAACGGGAGGTCCTCGAATCGTAATTTCCCGGAGCGATCCGATGGGGTGGTTCAATTCCGCTGAAAATAGAAAGGAAAAAAAAAATCGCGAGATGAAAGCGAGCCATACGAATTAATTCGACCTCTGCTCGGTTTAAAAGCGAAAGGATGAGGACGAAAAAAAAAATAGTAAAAAGTACAAAGTACAAAGAACCCTTCGGAGGAGAAGGGGGTGAAGAAAAAAAGCCCACCGGCTTTCTTCTGTTGCTGATGGAATCCATTTAAATCGGATATATGAAAGAAACCGGCCGGGTTTTCTGCCGCTCGGAATCCCGCTCGCCGGCGGGCCGAGACCGGCAAAAAGAATTATGGAAGCGCCTTGTGTTCTGGAAGTTAAAAAACGCCTCGTCAAGCAATTCTTTTACGGGCAATTTGGTAATTCTTCGTAAAAACAATAACAAAGAGAGACGGGATTTTTTTCCACTCGCGATTATAGCCCGGGGAAATTTTTCAGCGGTACGAAAAATTATCGAACTCGCCCCGTATATACGCGAGTTTATATACCAGGCGTGTTCGATAATTTATAGCGCAATGATACAAGCGTTATTAATCGCAAGATTTCTTCGGCTATATGCAAGTACTCGTATGCAGTTATCCGGAAAAAGGTTTTCCGATTTTCCGAGCGGTTAGCCGAAGATAAATCGCCCGTGAGCCGTTTTGGGCGATTCCATTAATAGTTGTCTCTACCAATGCACTTCTAGAGTTTTCTAGACTTATTTATCTCGAAATAAGCGGCTTACAGACCGTTACGAATAGCCGGAGACGTGTTAACAAATATCTTCTTGGTCTGGATATTCGCAGGATCGAATTTAAAAATCGTTTTTGGGGCGAGATAGAATCGAAAAAAATATTTATTTTTCGACCTTCGATGAAGATGAAACGAATGGTAATTCGTCATTGGCCGGTCGATGATTAAAAATTGTTTTTGCGGAAATTACAAGCGTAAAATCAAATGTAGCACATTTGGACGTGGACACGAGAAAATATTTTTTTTTTTGTTAATTAACCTTTTTTTTTGTTCGATACAATTTCGGGTCGGGCGATTTTAATTGACATAATTGAATATTTAATTTCGCACAGAGATATAACGAATAGTTTAATTTTAAAGGATCCATTTGTTAAATAAATAATTGATTTTGTAATAAGCTTAGTAGTTAAAAATGTTTAAGGACTGGTTAGGAACCGTTTAGAACGCTTCAGGATAATTCAAAAGAGTTCAGAACGATTTAGAATGATTTCAAAACTCTTCACGAAGAAATTACAACAGTTCAGAACAATTTACAACGGTTCAGGACGAGTTAGAACTGTTTAAAATCATTTAGAACTATTTAAAAAACATTAAGAACTGTTTAGAACGCTTCAGACCTATTTTAAACATTTCAAAACGATTCTAAAGAGTTCAGAACGATTTAGAATGATTTCAGAACTCTTCTAGTAGAAATTACGACAGTTTAGAACAATTTACAACGGTTCAGGACGAATTAGAACTGTTTAGAATCATTTAGAACTGTTAAAAACCATTAAGAACTGTCCAGAACTGTTTAGAACGCTTCAGACCTATTTAGAACATTTCAAAACGATTCCAAAAGAGTTCAGAACGATTTAGAATGATTTCAGAACCCTTCACGAAGAAATTACGACAGTTTAGAACAATTTACAACGGTTCAGGACGATTTTGAACTGTTTAGAATCATTTCGAACTGTTAAAAATTATTAAGAACTGTTTAAAAAACATTAAGAACTGTCCAGAACTGTTTAGAACGCTTCAGACCTGTTTAGAACATTTCAAGACGATTCAAAAGAGTTCAGAACGATTTCAAAACTCTTCACGAAGACATTACAACAGTTCGAAACAATTTACAACGGTTCAGGACGAGTTAGAACTGTTTAGAATCATTTAGAACTGTTAATGACCATTAAAAACTGTTCAGAACTATTTAGAACGCTTCTGTGACCTATTTAGAACATTTCAAAACGATTCCAAAAGAGTTCAGAACGATTTAAAACCACCTGGAAACAATTCAGAAACGATCCACACCGTTTTCTTCGGACATAGA